AATATAAATAACCCCTTCTGTTCTATTTTTTGTCAAATTTACAGTGGCAAAGGCAAAAACTATAATTTCAGCAAATGTGAAATGCATTCACTGCTCAGTGAAGGGGAGGCAAGGAAAAATAGACTATATGGTGGGTAAGGCAGTGGCATAAGCAGCAAAAACTTGATATAGTGGCACAGTGTGGTGAAACCACTGAAAAGTTAAAGTTCAGAAAATCACACAGTGCCTGAAATAAAAAAGAAGTGGTGAGATATTAAAGTCGACATGAAAAGGCGAGTCGCAGCCCACTACCTGAGTGTCAATACTACTGGAGGAGGGAGCGGAATTCCGAGGCACACACAGTTTGAGCAGCGAAGTTGCTGAAGTTATTGGGGATACAGTTATAACTGGCATTTTGCCCGCCAGTGAGGGGGACTCCAACATCACCACAGGTGAAGGGAATTTTTCCCACTTAACATTATCCATATTGTTTAAATAAGATGCATGTTTAATTGCATGTTTGAAGATGAAAAACCAGACAGCAGACTGTTTATTCTGTTTTGGACAATATTACAAAAGATGACCCCCGTGCCAGGGACACAACTCCAGGTGGTGAAGGTGCTGCTGTGCCGAGCTCATCTTTGGGCACTGGCTGCGCAGACTCCCTTTATAGCAATGTGCATGCAGTCAATCACTCTGATTACATTTGGAAAACCCGACATTGCTACGAATTGTGCTTTGATGTTTGTTTGTTCAACCACAGTGTAAAGAAATATACCTGGATGATATTCAGATAATACCTTTCCATAGCCGGCATGGCACGAATCAGCAATGACTGAGACATACCTGATCTGTTAGGCAGTTCAGGTTGAAAAGCTCCTGCTCCTAGAAGATAGCTCTTGGAAATCTAAATCACCTGAGCAGCTAGTTCATCATGGGACAAGAATTCAGTATCTAAATACATGATCTCTTCTAATTTTTCCATTTGCAATGTCTTCTAACAATGCTAAAGTGGGCATGGTAGTTGGAATAGTTTGGTCATTCTGTGCACCACTTTATTGTTTCAGATTGATTACATTCAAGTCCCTTCATTTGTAAAAGATATGCAATTAATTTCAGTGTATTTGATAAAACCCATGTCATGTATGTGAATATAAAAAAGAAAGGGAAACCACACAAAAAGAGTACCACTGCTTTGATACTGAGTACCGCCTGTTTACAATACTGACCAGAAATGTGCATACAAATGGTGTGAGACTGCTGTGAAAATGTAACTTTTCACTAAATTTATTTTTTCTTTATCTTGACATGAGCGTGGAAATGGGCATACTCAAAAGTTTTGTGCATACACACCATTAATACATGAGGCCCCTGGTTAGCAGGTCTGTTTCCAAACATGGCGTCCATGATTTAAAAAATGGGCCCATATTTGTTTTAAGGGGAGACCAGGACCGCTTTTTTTTAAGTTCCATTTTTGACTCCCTGCACTATTTTATTCAAGTCTTTACAACTTGCTCCATTATTCTGAAAGATCCTGTGTTCTCCAACTCCCTCTGCATCGCTTCATAAACTTCAGTTTTCTGCTGTGTCAGGTCCAATTTCTCTTGCATTTCCATGCTGCACCAAATGGACAAAAATGGTATCCTTGACTGACCACTGCGTAATTTTAGTTTCATCACTAGCTTCTGAAAACTGAAAATTGCTTCTAGTTTCAAAAACGGCAACTCTTATGACAAATGTTTGATGACCCTAACCCTGCCTCTTGACATCACACACTCCCAACTCTGCCCCAGCAATCTGTTGGGGCTAGAAAAAGGAGAACAAGACGAGGAGACACTATATATACCACAAATGAGGGAGCAGACGAGAGGCACCTGGGGATCATCCACACGAGGGCTGAAATGAGAAGCAGGGTTAAACGAGGAACAGGTGTGGTCAACATGGGGGAAAAAGGCAAGTGGGGCGTGACACTCCACCCTGGTAAAGATGTGTACTTAGGCTTATAGTAAATTCATTTTTTATTGCAGTAGCATAATCTCACACTGAAAGAATTAGAAAAATCTAACCCTTAACTCAGTCATTTCTTTAAATCCATCATTAAGAAATAATAGTATTTTAACAAAATCATCAGTGCCACAATTATTGGCACTTTTAATTAGCAATCCATGACTTCCTGTTTCCCTGGGGTATAAATATGACATGACGCAGAGGCC